AAAAAAAAAAGAAGGGAAGAACAGGGTCTTCCCAGGGTTTTGGGAACCTCTTACATGGTTGGCTGTGTGTGAATATCACTTTCCCCGGAAGCTGTAGTTCTTCTAATTATGGCTGGATTAAGGTTTGGGTAAATCTGGACATGAGCCTTTATTTTCCCAGCACTCTACTGGAGAGATGGTTCATCCAAAAACTGCCAAGACCCCCAGTCTTGCTGTCTGAATGGGCCGTCTCCAAGTTCTTACCACTGGAGTTAAATTTTCCTTCTTTTCACTCTTGTATAGCCAAGGCTTTCACTTTCCATTTTCAGGATTTAATCTTCTTGGGTTCTGATCTCAAAACTTGCTTTCAAGAATGGAGTTAAAAATCACTTCCACTCAGAAATAAACAACCCCTCATTTTTTAAAGGGGTAAAGACCTTTCAACCTGGACACATCCCAGTTCACCAGCTGCCTTCTTTAATTGTCCAATCAATTTTCTTCTCTCCCTCCTCTGTCTGTGTGTCTCTCCACCCCTTGCTCATCAATTAGAGAGTACTATATTCTAAATGTAAAAAAATCTCTGAACATTCAAAAAGGCCATGGGGGAAAAATTAAAACAAAAATCAACTTTCACTTTTCCATTCAGAAATAACCATGGGTAATACTAGAGTGTATCTCATTTCCACCTTTTTATTCTCATAGATTTCTGAGGGTGGGAAAATTTCATTCAGGAAATTAAATGAGACATTAGAATCAAATTTAAGGTGTGACTTATTTCTAGCAATAGGGTGCAGAACAGGTTATAAATAATTCTCAGGAGTTGTCTGATGTGGATCAGGTTTGATGGCTATCACATGGCCTCCTACAGAAAATGGGCCTTCCAGAGAATGAACACTCAGTATCTGTAATTTTTAAAGATCTAAGAACAGGAGAAAAACAAACTTAAGCCTTGGGTGCCAAAATGAGGTATCTGGAACCTTTCCTAGACATATGGCATTTATTTTTATTAGACATTGATTTAAAAATAACTTAAACATCTGGTTTAGAGAA